AAAAATTTTTTCTAGGCCCTTTGTCCCTCACCTTGGGCATTTTTAAGTTGGTTGGCCTAACCCCCAGAAAATCCCCAAGCCAGCGGGCTGGGTGGGGAATTCTGGGAGTTGAAGTCCACACATCTTAAAGTTGCCAAGGTTGAGGAACACTGTGCTAGAACAATGTTTTTAGGCATCTTCTGTTTTTATTCTGTAGTTTTATGCATTGTAAGGATTAAGCTTTTCCAACTTGATGCACTATTGAGTGATCTTGTGCAGTGACTCCAAGACAGGTAATAAAGGACAGAATCAAGATGGCCCAAATGTTATGCAGTTTCATCCATCCCCCTCCAAGATCTCATGAGGAGAACTCCAAAACTTTATGAGGACTCCCAAATCTGCAATTTGACGACCTCCATTTTTCATTCGTTGGTTAGAGTTATATCCTGCCTTTCTTCCAGGAGTTTAAGTAGCATATATATAGACATCCTCTCTTCTTCAGTGATATCCTCACAACCCCCCTGCGAGGTAGGTTGGACTTAGATAACTCTGGGTCAGTCACTACCCCTATCAGACTTCCCACTGAGTCCCCCTCCTTGTAGACTGCTTTAAAATTACGTGTATTTCCTTTTAGAGGCTGGACATGCCATTTTAGGGTGCAACAGGTAATCCTGACAACCTAGGGTTCTCTGTGGCTGACTAATAAACTGGGTTAATTGTTTTTTTTTAGGGTATTGTAGTTCCACTATCCTGACATTTATTGCAATTCATGTTAATATTTTGAGGGCTTTGGTGGATGAGAATCGTTAAACCATAATTTTAAAAAAAGTAAGAAAGGAAAATGAAACAGAGGAATAATTCCATGGCTTGGTTATACAGGTCTGGCAGGCAGCACTGAGAACATTCATCCACAGACAGATGTGAAGTGTGTCTATATTTACGAGAATCAGCGGTGGAATCCGGTGACTGGCTACAGTAACAGGTAGGGAGGGAGGCAGAAAGAAAAAGATCTTTTTTATTCCAGTCCGTTGCAGCAGACGAATGTGGCCTCCAGAATGATGCTTGCCCGGTCATATTCATGTCCTAAAGAAACTAACAGCTGTCAACAATTATTTCCATTTTTTCTTGCAAATGTCCATTAGCTGACATGTGCAACATGGCAGATTGCCCCCTTGTCAAACACCTTTTGCCCTGTATTTTATAAAGCTCCATCTTGCAACCCGAATCTCAACTCTCGTTTTTGGTGAGATTCTTCCAAAATACCCTTTTGCATTGCTGGGTGGACATGACCTTTAACCAGGTCCTTCCCAACCAGGTGAGATCTCTTTTATTCCTTGTTCTTGTGTACTATTATATTGTTTTATTCCTTTTAATGTTGTCGCTTTATGTAATGGTATATGGGAATGACCTTGGGAGAAAGGAGGAAGAGCTGCAGACTAGGCAGTAGTCAGATAAGTGTCAGCTGAGCCCGCAGGAGGAATGGGGATGGGGTAAATGTCTCAGAAGGGACCCTCCCTAGTTTCTTGGGCTATAAAGATGAGGGGGGAGAGATGTACTTTCAGACTTGCAAGATTCTGTTAATGTAACCTTACAGTAAAGTAGAACTAGTACTTCTGGGTATGCTTCTTGTCTGGACTTCCTTGCAAGGCTGTCACCCTGTGAACCACCCAAAGTCATTGGGAATCAGGCAGTGTGCAAGTTTAATCAATAATTACTTATTTTATTTATTGATCGTATTTATATAGCCACCCATTTCACAAAAGAGTCCCTCTGGGCAGCACACAACTCAATTAAAAACCCATCACTACATATAAAAACCCTCATTGAAAGTATAAAAATTATAAAGAACATACACAATAACAACACAACCACAACAACTGAGAGAGTAGCATGCTATACAGTCAGCAGTAGGAGAAGGCTAGATGAACAGAAATGCCCCTGTCATCTCCTGCTTCACTTACGGGCCACGTCTAAGCTTCTGGTTCCCATTTTGAGCTCTTCATCTTGGAAGTCGAGGGCCTACTGTGGGTGAGACTAGGAGTTGAGTGCTGTGCTGTTTGCCTGAACAGAGGCCTGCCCACCGATCGGTATATGTGGAGCGATGCAACGGGGTTACGGGAGTGTACAAAGGCTAACACCAAGCCCCCATCGCCGCAGTGGTCTTGGGTAAGTGGACTTGCTCTGGCCCTGGGTACCCTTGGCGACAGAGTTTGGGAAGAACTCTGCTGTATTCCGTTTCCCACGATCCCCTCCCCAGCATCGTTGGGGAGAATTATGGGAACTTAACCAGTGGTTTTTCAGATAAGACGACTCCAGGTAGGTGAGGCGGGGGAATAAAGTTTTGTTTTACTATTTTGCTGTTCTCTGTACAATTCAGGTATCTGACTGGTCCATCGATTTCAGTGTTTCGGGTGGGACCGACCGAGAAGGTTGGCAGTACGCAGCAGACTTTCCAGCGTAAGGACTTTTTTCTTCTCTGCACCCCGACTAACTGGATTAGATAATGGGTGGGATTGGAATAGAAGGTCTTAGCTCTGTACATGATTCCTGTCTCCAGCATATGACAGAAGAAAATAGTTGGGATAATAAAGTAAAACTGACCCAACCATTAGTTCCTGGCTCGCCAGACAAGATCTTGTCAATCAAGCAGCTGCTTTGAGTCAGGTAGAGATCATAGAATTGATGTTGCCCCAGATGTCACCTAGTCTAGTGTTTCTCAACCTTGGCAGCTTTAAGCTGTGTGGACTTCAACTCCCAGAATTCCCCAGCCAGCCATGGTTGAGAATTCTGGGAGTTGAAGTCCACACAGCTTAAAGCTGCCAAGGTTGAGAAGCACTCAAAGCTCAAGAAATCCATTGCCAGTCTATCCAGATGGCTACCTTGGCAGCTTTAAGCTGTGTGGACTTCAACTCCCAGAATTCCCCAGCCAGCCATGGTTGAGAATTCTGGGAGTTGAAGTCCACACAGCTTAAGGCTGCCAAGGTTGAGAAGCACTCAAAGCTCAAGAAATCCATTGCCAGTCTATCCAGATGGCTATCCATGTCCTGTTTGAAGATGTTGGGTGGGGGAAACTGGTTCCATGGTTGAACTGCTTTTACCTTCCAGGAGCTTCGAAAGTGAATCCAGACTTTCTCTTCCCACCTACACCAGTGTCCATTACCCAAATCTTAACACCACTTGCAATGAAGACGCACATTTTTGAGATGTGCTTCGGTCAGGTCAACCCAAAAGCTTTCCAAATGAATTGGATTTAGGTTGGGATCAGGATGAGCTGGGGCGATAAATCTGGCATTCTCCAAGTGGTTTGGACATCCCAACACTCTTCACCATCCTCCATTGCTGGTTGGGGCTGATGGAATGTGAGACCCCAAATCTCTGGGGGCAGTAGGTTGTGGCCCCAACACCAGGCCTTTTAGCAAATTAAAATTGGCCGATGCAATCCATAATCACAGCTTCTGATGCTGTTATTCTTTATTAGATTTATTTTGGCTGGCCAGAGTCTTTGGGCGGCCAAAATAAATCACGATGATGATCATGATGATGTCATCTCAGACTTTCAGAAGACCTTCTGATGGTGATCCTCTTTGGTCTCAAGCTGGCCTTGACCAAAAGGTGGTTATGAGGGTACAAAGAGAATAACAGTTTGGAGAGGAAAGTGGTTTGTTTTCAGAAAAAATATTTGGAAGCAGCAAGGAATTTCCTAGTGCTGCCCAAGACATTACAGTCTGTAAATGTCTTCCAACGATCTCCTGCTCCTTGCCACTCACGACTTCTAGGTGGAACTCCTAAGCACTCTTTTGTTTGAGAAACGCAACTCCTTTTAAAAAGCTGCATCTTCTCTCTTCCGACAGGTCTTATCACAGCCAGAAAACAATGAAGGACTTTGTGCGCCGGAGACGCTGGGCCAGGTAACCACCTCACATTTCACAGAGCTCTAAGGTCCACTTAAAGCCTGTCATTTCTTCCCCCTTTTCATCTGCAGGTACATTCCTCCTTGTTTCTGCTTTTCCTGTTGGCTGTTGGTTGTTTCTTTAAAACATCAGATGCCATTCCAAACACAACATTTGCTTTGGCAGCTAAATGATAGGAGTTTGGCATTTGATAAAAGATTAGTAGATATACCACATCCCTGAACCAGATTTTCTTATATGAGACTCTGTGCATCAATTGGACGGCAGGTCCTGGTATTTCCAGCTCAGAAAGCACCACCTTGGGGAAGAATGGCTTAAAACTAAGGCTGTTAAAGAATCCATTGCTCATTTACACTTATGTTTTCTTTGGATCAGAGCCTCCTGAAGAAATGGCAAGGGACAATAAGCCATAAATCATAACTTGTTCCTTCTTTCATTCATTAGGCACTATTTCTCCCCTCCCACCTCACACCCAGAAACTCAAAGCAAGCTATCTGTATCCAAACCATAGCTTTGGGCTAGCCATGGTTTGCAAAACGCTCTGGGAAAATGAAGGTGATATTTCTGTGTCTGGCTTTACATCCTGTGATGTTCCAGGGGATAAAAGCCAGATATGATAAGGAAATTGGATATCATTCTGAACTCTCAGAAGACAGCATGGTGACGCCTGGTTGAAACCCTTATGCTGCTTGTCTGAAACTTCTAACCCAGGTTGAAAAACTAGGGTGTCTTCAAGGTTCCACCAGGAGTAGAATGAAGCCCCTTCATTGTACCTGTTGAATGATTCTCAGGAGAAAACGATTTCTTAAATGCACTCATTCTTATATTACTGCTCTACTGTGTGCCGCACATACTCTGCTATTTTATATTGGCTGCACAATGGCCACAATAAATTAAATCTACCTATCATGGTTAATATTCATAGCCATCAAGCTAATGCACATAGTTTGCTAAATGCACTGAAGATGCTCAGCTATGCTCGGCTTCGCAGATCTCCTTAAACCAAAATTAATCTGATCACAGAGAGCTTAATCCCATGTCTAAATCTAAGCAGCCTCTGGGCCTTCCAACATGATCCACCTTTTAAGAGCACACCTTCACTGTTTCAGAGCCTGACGTTATATACTGTGGTCTTTGGTTTTCTTCTGGGCCCTGCTAATCTCTAAAGTACACATTCCCTAATTAATTACAGCCCACAGATTTGATTTCTTGAATGGCTCTGTGTTGGCTTCTCCTGGCTACAGATGAATTGTTCTGGGTCCAAGCGTCACTCCTGGAGTTTAAGCAAGATCCTTCCTGGTTCAACCCATTGAACATGTTAGAACTGTGGACACAATCTTTGGGACCTGTGATTTTATCTTGGCCCTGTTCCCTACTCAAGATAGTTCATGAAATGGGCAATAATGGTTCCTTACTGCAATTTCCTCTGAGAACTGGTGGGGTTTTCCCTCATTTTATCCCCACAGGAACCACTGTCAAGTGGGCAAAGACAGAGGCCCAATTTACACATCATGCTAAGTTAGGGTTTCTTAGGATTGATTGAATAAACCAGTGTTGTCCAAACTTGGCCACTTTAAGATGAGTGGACTTCAACTCCCAGAAT